GAGGGCGGTGCCGGCGGCACCAATCCGAGGGCGCGGGGGAGACATTCAAACGTGGTGGCGGCACATAACGGGTTCCCTGAGGGCGGGGGCCGGTAGATCTCGATCTGGGTCCCGGTGCCGATTCCGTCCRGCGCACTGAGTGAGTACTACCCCGACCAGCTGCCAGAGCGGCCTGGTCGCGGCCCTCTTTCCCCGACCCTGTCTCCTCCTGCCTTGGCGGCACTTTTCCAGCTTGTTTCTACCGTCCTGGCGGGCACAGTAACGACGCTGGCTTGGCCCGCCCGGTGCCCCCGTATCCCTTTATCCAAACGTGGCGGTGCGGGGGATCTGCCGCGACTGTCGGCGGGGAGGACGGGCAGTGCCAGCAGACTATGGTCCCTGCGGCGAGAACGGCTCGGACGGGGCCCGGGGCCCGGGCGTGCTCAGGGCCCTGGCCGGCAGCTCCCCTAGTCCGCCGTGGCCTTCAGAGGAACTAGAGCACCGCGCCGTCCTGTGCGAGAGCCGTTCGCTAACAGTTCATTGTAACCCTAGGACGGCAGCGGCTCTTTCGTGGCATTCCACCTGAATCGTATTTGCTAGCAAATGAAAATCAAGAATTTAAAGGATTTGTGTACATATGTTTAAATTGTCATACAGATCACTAGCATTTTAGCCCTTCCCACCAAAATCTGCCTGTAAAGATCCTATCTGTTTCAGGACTTACATATCCACAGTCTTAACTGTGACTGAACCAGGAAACTTTAGCTAGCAAGTCTGGCATGAGACAACAGCAGCTCTGTAAACTTGTCTCACAAGTTGTTTTGATTAAAGAAGGCAAAAAATTTTGGGATATCAGATCTTGGTCTGAGACACAAACAAAAAAATTGCACTCCTAGAGCATTCTGCCTCACAAACTAGAGTCTTGCAGTGAAATTGCAGTATAAAGCCTCTTTGTGGACTTGCACAAACCTAAATAGTTGTAGAAATCAATCCTGTCCTCTTTCAAGCCTCCAAATAAAMGTCTGCTCAGCTCTGGTTTTCTTAGTTCAGACAAATATAACCAAGTATATTGTATAACAGTTTCCATTTCTGTTTTTASGTTGCTTGTTCTGGCTAAGCCTAGCTCTCATTTTGATTGTTTTAGAAATAAGGCTGACCGAGAACTGGAACAAGATGGCATCTGTACTTGAAAATGTCAAAGCAACCATGGCCTGGCGGAAGCACCGGCTCCTAGCTGACTTCGATGAGAATGAGAGCCCTGTGCCTGACAAATTCAAGAGAAGGGCCTCTCTGAGTTCTCTCAATACCATTCGCATGTCTCTAAGGAAATGGGTACCATTAAAGCAAGTAGAGCTGAATTTTCATAAAACCCCAACTAGGGAAAGCCTGGAATCAAGAAAGAAGTGCCAAACTCTTCAGACTATTAAAAAAACAGCAAAATATGCTTTTGGAACAGTGTCCCAGGTACTTTGCCGTTGCAGTGGAACATGGATAGAGTTTAGTTTTGGTTAAATTCCAGTATCAAGATTTCYGAATTCTGTACTGAGTGCTGTGTTCCAGAGAGTTCGTTCCCATGCACTTGCACRACTTAGTAGCTGTCTCATAGCTACTAAATTGTACAATCTTTAATATCTTTTCCTCAAGTATAGACAGGCAAATTATGGATCTGGCAGAACATGGAAGAAATTGAAAGCATTTTGTTATGAAATAAAAGATTTTCCCCTACTTTATTTAATCATGTATGGCAGAGCAGTCTTCGCAAGGAGGAAGCTGSGTAGAGATTGCCATAGCTTGCAAAGACTTGTTACTGAGAAATACATAGCACTTCAGATTTTTTTTATTTTACTTATTCTCCTGTATCTGTACTTTTTAATAGCATTGAGAGGTTAATAATGAAGACGTTAATAGCATCTTCATTACAGTTAATCTAAATTTAGACTGACAAAATCTGCTACAAGGTAGCAGGGTAGCAGATTCTACCTTGCACTTCCCTTCACYGGAGACCTTGGATTCTTAAATGTGTGAGTTCTGTGTTGGGGAGCCTGACTTTTTCCAGCRTAAGAGCAGCAGGAGATTTGTTCTAATGTCTGCTCTGAAGTCCTTGATGAGTGCCAAGGGCTAGGGATGCAAGCGRCTCCTCCAATGCAAATGAGCGTAGAGGTTGAGAATCATTCATGTGAGTTAAAATCTGATGTGAGAATGGAAGCTACAAATTCAGCCCAAATGTTCCTAGTCTTCTTGGTTCCAAACTCTAACCTAATTGAATTAATTTAGCCTAACGTGTCTTAATGTTTATTTCAGAAAATACAGAAATCTTGCCAAAGCCCAGTACACTCAGTGGCGACTGTTCCAGCTGAATCCATCGGCAGAAGCCATACGRCCATTTCTAGCAAAAAAAGAAGTACTACACGTCAAACACCTTGCTATAAGAGTGTTGCTCCAGCAGGCAGTTCCAAAGGCACTCCGAGGTCCAGCAGAAGGGTCTTGCTTGAGCCAACAAGGCTGTCAGAACATGGAGAATGGAGGGATTTCTCATCCTGGCTTGGTAAAAATGCCGTCTCTCTCCGGAGATCAAGAAGAGCAGCAGCACTGAAGAGCCCTTATTCATCACCTGCTCCTTCCAGCAGAAAGTTGTAAGCCACATTCTTTTGTAATTTTTTTTTAATTACTCTAATTAGAGTATCTGATAAAGCGAAAGACAAGGTATGAAGTTTACTGTCCTACTCCCCTGAAGGGATGTGCTGCTCTCAAAGTTCAGCAAGTGGTTCCAGCTCCCTGYATAGACAGGGACCGAGCTCTGCATAATGATGAAACAGAAAAAGTAATTTYTTGGTGACGGCAACTTCTAAAAATCACTCTCCCATTGGGTACGTTTGCACTGTGTTTCTAAGCATTACTACCCATCAGACGCTAGAGACGTACCTGAGTTCTTTGCTGGTGCTTTTTGGGAAAAGGAAAATGCTCTGTATGTATCTCACTCCTACTTAATTGTAACTTCTCCAAAKTTGCTATTTCTATTGCAAAGATACCAGGAATAGTTCTGTTTATGCTGAGTTCTTTATAAAACTAATAGAGATTCCTGACTCAAGGAATAAATACAAATTAGATCAAGGCTTGTGAGCTAGGAAAAGTATGCACATAGGTTTTTCTTTTGGTCAAAGTCACAAGAAAGGTCAAAGCTAGAAGCTGAATCCTAGCCTTGTGAATCTGAATCTTGTGTCTGAATTGTAAGATAGCTGTCTCTGGGATAAATGGAGATGGGAAGCAGTTGCCCAATGCAATTAAGAGCATGATTGCCACTGCCCTAAACTTCTCTGGGTATAGACTAGGGGTAACAAGAGTGGTACTGTAGGGATGGAGGCTTAAATAGTGTCACCTAGTCAGCCTGACCTGTTTGATCTTCAGCAATGACGATTTTGTTTGCAGAGAGTTTGACTGCGAGTTGGAACTGGTCTCCTCAGGGATTTGCCAATTGAAGCGTATCTCCCAGGCATTCGACGATGCCATCGTGAAAGAGGAGAGGTAAATACTGCTAGCTGTCTGTCAACTTTTGGCACAGGTTGCCTCCCACCTGAACATAGCCAATTGCAAGCTAAGTAGTCCCTATAACCCAGGATGAGGAACAGTTGCAGAACGTTCTCAGTTGTAACAYAGTATATCAGTTTTTTCTTCAAGATACCTGGGAAGATTAAATCTGCAGTTGGATTTGCAGCTTCTAAAACCTGTCAAATGTTTTCCTTGTTGTGGAAGTCAGATTTTTAGCAGCAAGAGCTTACCTTTAACCTTGTGTGAGAACAGTACCTCCCTGACGCTTGTCTAAAAGTGGTGCCAATCCAGGTTGGGGGAGAAGGCGGGAAAATTCCAGTGCACTTACACAGTCATTGATGCCTGCACATTCATAAAAATAATCCTTTTATTAGGTAGCATTGTATTAACAAACAGTCCAAGGCACCTAGATGGAGAAGCCTCTTATAAAACCTTCGTTAATCCACAAGGTGGTAGGCTGTTGTATTTGTGAAGGTTATGTCATTCTGAATCAGATGTATTAAGGAGTRAAAACTAAAGGTCAGATGTCCTGTCACAGAGCGATTCCCTAAACCTCTTCCTCTCTTAGAACATTTGATGTCAAGCATCCAATAGCTAAATGTCAAGCCCCTCAAATTCACTAGAGAGAGTTTAGCATCAAATACTTTATCYGCAAAGGGGTAAGGGCTTAACATCCAAGAAAACTGCAAAAATTATTACCAATGGGACCGCATCTAGATAACTATAGGTTAAAGCTTGTATCAAGTTAATTTTATCATATCCATTGAAGTTTACCAAATCTCACTCCTAATATTCTCCCATCTGCTAGTGATATGACAGTTTCTCTCATTCGTAACTGAAGATAGTAGCAACCAGGTAAAGTAGCTGTTCACTTACCTTGTCTGTACCTGCATGCATCTGTGGGGAGAAAACCTGCTGTTTAGAGAAAGGCTTATTTTTAACTCACGCTGCTTTAAGACAGTATTATGCAGAACCCAGTGTTCTTCCTTCATATTTGCCATGKCTGTTTCTGGTACAGCAGATCATTGTGCAGTTATAAAACCTCACCTCTAAACTGTGGATTAGTGAGTCCTTGCAGGTTCACAACGAGTCTCCTATGCAAACATCAGCTTTTCTCACCCCAGGCCAGAAAACTACCAGTACTAATGTTTTTGTCATTCAAGTTCAGTTCTCACTGGTTACTAATGATCAAAAAGCATGAGAGAAGCAACCATTATCATAAGCTGTCTTTTTTTACAACCTTTCTTTTCCATCCCTTGAATTTTCGTAGCAGCTGAGACCCTGCTATTACCATTAACATCAGCTYGTGACTGTATTGGTGGCATTTTAAAACACAGCAATTGTACCCAAATGGATGTGATATTAATATCTTCACCCATTATGGGGGAAGTGTTTTTTTTTGTTAAAGGTGCATCCTGAATACTATGTCCTATTTTAGCAACAAAGATAGGTGTAAGGAACTTTGCTGTAACTTTTCAGGAAAAATGAAACCAGTTTCAAATGCTTGACTGATGCTTTAAACTATGATGTGGAATGCTTCCACTAAGTAATTCAGCCCAGTTCTCCTGCACGTGTAGTTGCTCTGTCACTGCCTGGTTCCTACGTTGCCTATTGAAAATACTGGGAACTTTTTTGGAGGTATCTTTAGTCTTGCATGAGACTTTTTGTTCTGGTRTCCAATTGCCACGAGTTTTAATGTTAGAGCTCCCTTTTCAATTTTTTCACGATGAAGCAAAGCTTGATCTCAAATATTTCCAACTTTATGTACTGTTCTAATGTTTTGCATTTCAATTATTAGATTAAATTAGAATTAGATTGTATCACAAGAAATGCTCTTATTGCTAGTTAAAACATTGCAGTACTTGTGTACTGCCGTTTACGTTCACTGAAGGTAACAAAATATGTTCTTGCTAGTGTTTAGAACAGTTTACACGTGGGAAGTGTACCAGACCTCTTCCTTTCTTTCATCTGTTTTCCAGCAACTGGTGTGACAAGCAGTTGATTAGCTCTACTGACTTCATGCTGCTAATGGCAGTCCTGTTCTTCTGCAGGCAACAAGCAATATCAAACTACWACTATCTAATGGCACAAAACATACAGTCTGCACATCGATCCCTGAAACCGTCCCAAGCRATCAGAAGGCAAGCAAAGAAACTCCATCAAACACTTGGTACCTAGTCAGAGATGGCTGTCTGTTGTTTTCATGTTTCCAAGTTTATGTGCACATATACAGAAGAGGTCTATAGAGCACCTGAAAGGATGCACTCTATACAAATGAGCCATTAAATTTTGTATTTTTTTTTTTTTTTTTTAAGTGATGAAGCTGCTTTGGACTTCTGGCTTGCACTTTTCAAGTGAAGAGAGAATCCAAATAGTATCAACCTCATTGTGTTATCTCGTGTTGTGGTGAGGAAACCGTCTTGAAAGTGACTTTCGTGGGGCAGTAAGTACTTAGAAAGTGATGTTGAACTGGCCAGTAAGAATGGCCAAAGCAAGGGCTNTTTTTTTTTTTTTTTTTGATGAAGCAGCTCTGGACTTCTGGCTTTCTCTTTTCAAGTGAAGAGAGAATCCAAATGGTACCAACCACATTGTATTATCTCCTGTTGAGGTGAGGAAACCGTCTTGAAAGTGACTTTCGTGGGGCAGTAAGTACTTAGAAAGTGATGTTGAASTGGCCAGTAAGAATGGCCAAAGCAAGGGCTACAGACTTATGAAGGGTAATCCTAGATGAGAGTAGTGTTTAAACTGGTATACAGTGGCCATGAATTTTAGCACAAGGCTTTTCCATGCGAAAAAGATTGGTCTATTATTTTGAAAGCTTAATTTTATTTTTTTTTTGGTTATGAGCAAACTAAAAGTTAGTCATCATGTTAACTGGAAGTTAATAAAACAGTAGTGTCTTTGAGTTCTAACCAAAACTGTCATTCCAAAGCAACAAGCTTCTGAGGAGTCACTCATGCCACAAGAACAGAGCRGTATTACAACTCCTATTTCATGGCATTAAGGATTAGCCTAACTAATCTTGTTTTAGGTAGTTTGGCTCCAGACAAACCAGAGCAACTTTGTCATTTCTTACTGCCACTTTAGATAGCATCTTGGCAAGTTCAGTTAAATGGCTACACCTGTCTTTTAACTTATTTGTTACTACAATCAATGTAACCTCTTGCAACTACTGTTATTAGCCAGTATCACAGTGAAAGTATTTTATTTAATTATGTATACTTARCATTTGATATTTGTATTTTGCTTCTAATTACTTTTTAAAATAAATTAACATTTATTTGACAAGCCTTTTTGTTAGGTCATTCAGTATAATGTTTAGTTATTCAAACAAAAGCAAAGATGTCTCAAGTTTCTAGAATTCAACAGCAGGGCTGTTTTCCACGGTAAGCTTTGTGCAGGACTCTCCGATTACGTTCACTCTAAAATGAACCTTCAAACACACCTTTGTGTGTTTTGTGGGCTGGTTTTTACCGTTTTTAACCACTTTTCTACATGGAAGTATTGAAAAGTATAGTATCTCAAAGTTTTTCTTTGCATGTCCTAAAACTACTTCTATAAAGCTTTCACAAAGATTAGGATTTCTCATTATYGAAATACCTCCTTCCGTTACTTTTGAAAAGGAAGGTTGTTTGGAGTTCTGTGAAAAGTTGACCTCCAATTTAAGTATTATTTCAGACAGATCAAACAACCTCTATTTATACTGTTTCCACCAGCTAACTAGGACATGATTGAATATTTCCTAAATCACTGGTAAGAAAAATCAGTGACACTGTTTGTTTAAAGGCAAGGAAGGTTTTATTTAAGTAGCTAATCTGTTTTAAGATTTTAAAAACCAGCTCACATCAAAATCATAGCAGCTGTAGAAATCTTACTCCTTATTTCATATTAAGAAATTYATTATTGTACATTTTTGAATCTTTACAAGGCAGCCATAAGAAATATAAACATTTGTCACCAGATAGAACCTTCTCACTGACAAACAATATTTAAAAGTATGCATTTAATAAAACTGTAGACTGAAAGAACACCTACAATTTCAAGTTTCTTTGTGTGAATTCAGCTGTAAGGGTTGTAACCCTTTTCTTCCCCGCAAATAGAAAAACAAGTTATGCATAAGACTTGGGGTTCTGTGAGAGGACTGCCATTCTGGGCTGTACACCAATCATCCAGGAATAACTCTACATTTCAAACTTGCTATCTGTAAGTCATGTTTCAATGTTGCAATCTCTGGTATACCATCTCCCAGCATGTCACAGTAAACCTGCCTCTCTCCCCCTCCTAAGTTCTGTACATCCATACAAATGACAAAGGAACTGTCAAACTTGTTTTAACTTCCCTAAYCCCCCCAAAACTCCATTCAGTTTCAAGGATAGCTTATTGAGATAAATGCAAGAAGGTAAACTCTAATAATCCCCGTATGTTGGGCTTGAACTAAAATGGAAGAGCCAACACATTGACTTCAAATCCAGAATCCATGGCATAGKATTCTAGCTGTTCCAGGTCTTCTTATTTCTCAAAACCAGATTTTTTCATCCAGGAAATATGTTAGCACTTCAATTTTTTATGGGGGTTCTGAAGATGTAGTTACTTTGYGTGACTAAACATTATGCAAGTCCTAATTACCTTGAGAAAACCCACAATTTCTGCTTAATTTATGAACACACACCGCGAGGAATCATTGCTCTTAGAGCAGCTGAAAAGGTAGGCTGTAAACTTCTATGTTTATACAAATTCTATCCTGTATCAGCTCCAGATGAGGATTAAAGTGCCACTTTCTCCCCGGCATGCCTGACATGAACAGTTCCATGAAGAGATCCTGAGTTCAGATGCCACATGTTAATCTCTAATCCGAAAAATTATGAACTTGTGGTGCACAATCCTCTTCTCTCCATTATCAAACCAAGGAGCTTATGAAAAAGGTACCCATGCTCCAATCACGTGGTCCTATGATGATGTACTCACCTTTCTGCAGCCTAGATGGCAAGAGGGGGAAGCAGAAAAGGGGAAAATCCTATTTGTTGAGTAACAATTTTTGGACSTACAAATTTTAAAACCTAAAAATACTTACTGGTTTTGAGTATTATTTAAAATGTTTATAAACAAAATTTTTGGCACATTTAAATCAGAACATGATATAGAAAGAAGGAAAAAAAATTCTTTTTTCCTTTCTAAATTTATTCCATGAAGTACAYGGTAATAGTATAGATCTAAGGATTGAGGATTTGTTAAAAACACGTATTAGTAGTGTCCTGGCTAAAGAAAGACTGCAATATATAAAAAGAACAACTTGTTCACTAGTGATGGCAAACAAAGGCTACTTTGCAGAAGGGTGGGGCTTCTGAAAAAAAAGTCATTGTCCTGTGTAGACTAGACTAGACATTGTTCTGTGTAATTTCTCTAATTTACTGATAGTTCCACTTCTACTTAACCAATGGAAGTTTTAGCTGTTTGGAAGTGACTTCCCTCGGTCCTAGAGGAAAAGATAAAGTAATTTGTATATATTAAAACTGGTTTAATGTAAACAAATAAAAATGACAGCTCTCATGAACCCCAGTGAACAAGAATTACCAATACTGTGTCATTTTTACACCTAACAAAATTTTGTGCTGAATAGATACAAACCATGCCACAAAACTAAACAGAAATACTTTGGTCAAGCAAAAATCTATTCCAAAAGCACTAGCATATGCAAACAAAAGTGTTATTCAAAATAAGCAGATTTGGATTAGCATCACTATTCAATTCTGAAATCTATACAAACGTACCTAGCTAAACGACAAAATTGAACAGACAGCCATTGTTGCTGTGCTTGTGTTTGTTTCCTTTTTTAAAAATGTATACTGATTAAAATTTGCTGTGAAAGCAGAACCAAAACTTAAGTGTCTTCCAGTAGTTACACACATATACACACAGACAAAACCAAAACACCACAGTTGTGAAGGTGTGTTTTCACAATATCTAAATAACTCTACCACTGCTATTAATCACAGCCATTTTTTTACAGAAATTTAAAATGGATCCATAYCAACAGGACAAAGAAGTAAATGCTTTCAGCTGTGGCTCACTGATCTGTACGACAGATTTAGCACTCACTGGACTAACAATTTTACATTTGACAATTTTATTTATGCTTCCTCCGTTCTGCGTGTTATAACTGATGGTGCTGAAACAACTGATGAGTCTAATGTAAGTTCTGTAGGCACACCCACCTGACTTCTCTGACCCTTTCCCTTCCATGTGTGCTAAAACACTTTYGTAGCCTGGTTTAAGTGCTTACTGCACAAAAACTGCAGCAATGAGGACATGCAATCAAGAATAAAATTACTATAGGATCAMACTTACCCTCAGCAAATGGCCTGGCTAGGGGATGAAACACATGAAAACACAATAAAATCTGAAATCCAATTGCAAGCTGAATGCCCATGAATGACTGGATGCAGCTGCATGTGGATGAAGTGTCTAACTAAAATGTTTGTATCACTGTTTCACCAAAGTGCACAGCTGGAGTGTGTGACCATGAGATAAACACCATTGTAGCCATGAGCAATCAGCAGTACTAGAATTATGCAAATGCCATATAAGCACTCGTATGAAAAAAAAATTAGGGAGAATTTCTTCAGCTTGATTTCAATCCCATGTGTAAAGACTGAAAGTGTTTCTAGTCTAACACACACACACACACGCGCATGCATGTGCATTTTACTGCTATTAGTTCCTTATATTCTTAAGGGAAGCCAGAACAGTGACTACTGCAAAGGTGACCCAGCTGTTAATAGAAATACACAAAATCAGAGTTTTCATGACGTGGTATCCTGCAAAATGAGACTATGTCTCCAAGAGTAGAAGACAGCCCTTTATAACTTATGAGATTTTTCTAACCTTGTACTCAGACACTATTTCCTTCAATACAGTCACAGAATTACACACAGATCCGTGTTTTGAAAGGAAGCAGACCTTTCTACTACAGCAACTTAAAACAAAAACAGGTTTTCAAGTCTTTTGGATGATCGAGGTAGATGGCTAAAGCAACAGTAGCTTTGAACAGGAATAGCGATTACTGTCAGGAGACATGCTACACAATATCCAGTGCTTAAAAAAAACTTTTTGATGTGTCAGTATTTTAGACTTCTCAGCAAACTTACAATTCTCCTAGCGAGTTCCTCTCGCACGAGCCTTGGATTCCCATGCCTACTTAAAACTACCAAGCGTGCTAACAGTAAACTCACTGGAAAGAGATGGAGTCTGGTGCACCCGTGCGACCTCCTCTTAGTGCAGAGCGCAGGAGAAGAATCATTCTAAGTGATTAGAATTAATACAYGCAGGGTGCCAAGACAGAACACAGAATAATTCTTCCAATATCATGGGTTCAAGAACTATGATACTACTGGGAAAGGATTTGTAAATGTGAGGACTGCTTCAATGTAGTTTGCGAACTGCCTTCCATTTAGCTTTTGTAGCTGGCTGACTCGGAAACAGAGCATAAAACTCTAGCCCCTTGTAATGTATTTACCTGCCCAAAATAAGTGTTTGCTACCCAATGTTTTACATCTTTCCTTAACCGTCAGCAGAGATTCCCCTTCCCTTGAAGAAAGTGTTATTAAAAAAAAAATACTRATGTGCCAGAGATATTTCAAGAAATTTGAAATAGATAACTGACAATCTTTTCAAGTAATGTCTGAAAACATAAACCAAAGATCTCCACTTACAAGCTATTTTGCTGTCTCTTAAGCCAAAAGCTACACTCCTATGCCTTTCCAAAAGCACACTGAAATTTTGGGATTAACAGGGAGTATAGACTTAGGTTTACTTCTGCATTGTCTTAGTTTTCTATTGCATTTTTTGGTTTACACATTAACTTTCAAAATTATTAACCAACTTGTTGAGAGACTGTTTCTGGTCTAGCAAAACCTGAAAGGGTGGTGGAGAGGCACAACACCATCTCCACCTCAATTCCCTGAAATAAAAGACAAACCACAAACCTGAAAAAGAAATACCCTATTGACTTCAAGCTTTCCCAGTGTCAGCAGTCTGTTTTAATTCTAAAAACTGGGGTTTTTATGTGCACTTGTAACTTCAYTGCAGGTTTTAAAACATGCATTAGTTCAGTCATTGCAGTTATCTTGATGAGTTTCTCTCTGAGAAGTATCTGCATGAAGAATCTGCAARCTGCTACTATATAACACTTTAGAAATATTACTACTTAGGGAAAATGACCCACATTTTATTTCTAGTAAGTCCATTGAGAGATCAGAGAGAAATTTCATTCAGTAGAAAAAAGTCTATTTGGCACCTGTAATTTTGCATGTCTGCTCTTTGAAGCTCAAATGCTGTAATTCTGAATGCTACAGATTGTCTTAACACAGCAGTTGCTGTAAATCATGAGAAGGTAAACAATTTACCAATTTACTTCATTACCTTTTTTTTTTTCTTCCTGTGTAAAGATTCTAGTTAGAATAATTAAAAAAGTAATTGCTGTGAAGTTTGTAGATCCCTTAGTAAAATGGTTCCCTTTAACTTGCCTTCTTAGGATCTGACTCTCGGACTGAGAAGATAAGAACCATTGTCTTTGGAGTAGTCCACACATTTTTGCAGTCAACAAGGTCCACAAACAATGTGATCTTTGTACAGTTGCACACTACTTTGTTTACAACAACACTAACTGTGTTCAAACTGCAGCAAACACATTTATTTTTAACATGAAGTTTGTATGTTTGGTTCACAAGTGAAGTTCTCTCGTTTATTTGCCCAGCACCTCACAAACATGAGGTCATCAGACTCTGCGTTAGAGTCTGCTGACTAACACTGTAGGCTGAAAGGAAATCTTGGGTTCAAGGCACCCAAAAAGCATCTTGTTATTCAAATTCTAACCACCTGTTATTGTAGTTCCCACTGCTGCCTCCCTTTATAGTTTTATTGAAATGTGACGTGGAAACAGATTATTTAATGTCTGTAGTGTAAACCTCTGTAACCTACCATTTATACTGTTTTGGGTGCACCTAGGTAGCTGATACCATAATACTTCTGAGTAAAACTAATAACTTTTCCTCTTATTGCACGTATTATATCTGTTCTAAAAAAATAACCAGAAATATTTCCTGTTGCTGTGATGACAAACTTGCGTTAGTTTTAGATTGTTTCAAACTTTTCCAATAAATATGACAAGAGGAAGAGACTGGAAGTGCCCCACTTGGTGTAAGAAGGCAGATGTTGGAACAGGGAAGACTCCACGGTACAGGTTCCCATCTACTTCCCATAGTTTGGAGCTGCCTAAATACTATCGTTGAGGCGTGCCTACAAATTTAATGGGGTGCACCCGAGATCTACATTCCCAATCCTCCTAGGGAACAGATTCAAATTTGTGAACTCCACCTCGAACCCAAGCAACGGAGGGCAAATGCCTGTCATGATCTTTGTCTGATTCAGGTTGGCTCTGAGCACGCTCTGGCTTGGGGTTCAGAGAAGGAGGGTCAGGTTGCTGTACGGACATAGTCCTGCGGAGATGGTTTCTCTTGCGCAAAAACTCAGGYTGGGAGTGGAGGCCAAAGCTGCCTTTCCTCAAGATCATCCGAGAGTTGTTCTTTTTGGATCGTGAATGGAGACTGAACTCCAGAGAGGCCAAGTGGGCTGCATAGCCTTCACTGAGGAACTGAAATAGGAAGGAAAGAAAGGGGGTGACAAATTACCACTGCCTTGACCTATGGGTTCAGTGAGGAATTAAATATTGATTGCCGGTATCCCAGTCAGACACCTATGGAGTACTAATACTCCTCTTCCTTCACTTTTTTTTCCAAGTGACCCGTTCCATTTTGTCATTCAGAAATATGCAATGCATGCACTTGTAGATGCAATCCTSAACCATCTGATTTTCTTTACTATTCACCCTTCTGGAAAATGTCTCATTTGCAACCCAAACTACCCTTCTTTGAAATACTGTCGCTGCTTTGTGCATGAGTTTGCATATGCACTCGCATGCTTTTTCTTGCCTTCCCTAGGACTTCCTGACTGAATAGCAAGAGTTACTTACTTGGCACTGTGCCTGGTACTTCTTAGTGGGTCGTCCAACTATGTAGATCTGGGATGGCGACAGAGCCAAGACACTGTACACAGAAATATCCTTCATGGAACCATACGCGGCACAGATTTTGATGTGGCACTGAAACAAACATTACTTCCAAAGTGAATGCTCTATTGAAAACCACGCAACTACAAGTCTGGTGCTTGATTTGCAATGAAGCAGTGTATGAGTTCATTGTTAACAATTTCATTCTGTAAACCTCAGATAGCAAATTGGTCTGCCTCCATGCCAACAAGAATTACAACTATGTGCACAGAAAAGAACAAGCAGTTCATTCATTTGTCATGATTGGGACGTCCCTTTGGATGTTTTATCAACTTTCCTTGTACTTTAAAAAGTGAGAAAAGAAAGGAGGAATGGCAAAAAGACTTTGTGATGCTAMGATTTACTATTCAGAAAAAAAGGAGATCTCTACTGCATGACATTCTTTGAAAAGAGGTTTTAAGGCTATAAATAGGTTTCTAGTACCTCTTGCATGAGATTCCGGAGAAAAATGGTCTTTTGTCGCAGTGGGTCATGAACAAGTCCATCTGAGAAGAAGATCATCCCTTGTGGGAAGTTGTGTTGGGACAACCATGAAACCACACGCTGTTTTTGCATATCTGGACGGCCGGTGATATAGATAATCAGATATCCCAGGTCCTGCCAATGCCTGTCAGGAGAAACAGTTAAATTGTGTAAGCGCAGAAAGAGAAACAACACTCACAGGTCAGGTCAGCACCTTTTCTCAGACCAGTTAGAAGTCACATGTTATCCTTCAGAAAGTGGAAAGCAGCATGCCTTTCTGCTCTGATCAAGAAATTAACTACTAATGTCTACATCTTGGGAAGATGGAGGAAAGCAAGAGACACTCTTATATAAAACATTAACTAAAATATGACAGCCATTTAAAAATACAGTTAGGATAAGCCTTGCAACACTTCAGGTCATGCTACTTTYGAAATCTTTAATGAGATTTACTGCCATTTCAGCTGTAAAAAATGGAAACCCTTGAAAACTGGTATTTCTACATACCCATGCAAGTTCCAAAATGAGAATTGTCTTTTCCCACCCAGTGCAACATTAGAAGACCTGCAAGAATGGACTAAAAGGCCTTTCAATTTTCCCTCCAAAAACATCCCTACACTCCTGGCACCTGAYACTTTTGAAGTACAAAGATGTCCGTATTTGAAATCAGTAAAACACAAAATACACATGGGTTCATTATTAATTCACTGCACACACTTCAAGGTAATATTCCCAAGAAACAATGTGTTATCTTTAAGCAACTTAAACTACAAATTTCAAAGTAATSCACAGCATTCTAAGATTACTCTGAAATTCAGGCAGGCCTGCTGTCTGCGAAAGTATAGAAATGTATCTGCAAAGAATCCTGGCCCTTAAGAGAACTGCTGTCTGGTTAGTAAAACAACCCTTTTCTTTCCTACTATGTTCAAGCAGAAAGTCAGAGATTTGAAGTGTTCAAACCTCATTTACCTGACAACATCAACGGCCCCTGCTCGGACTTTGGGGTCACTTCCCATAATTGAAACACTTGCTGCAAAGGAACCGTCAATGCTGAACACAACGCATTCCATTCCTCGGGGAAGTACAGTCAGGTAACTGGCAGCACTGCTCTGGTCCCCTCTGGAGAGTCAAAGCAATAAATTATTTTAAAAAGCAAAATGTCCGAATGTATTTTCTGCATGTTCTAGTTAAGACTTAAAATTAGATCTGTCTGGAGCGACAGCTTTAAAAACCACTGTYGAATATAGCTTCTGTTTTCAGTCCTATGTGGGGCAATTAAAACTTACACTTTTAGGAGATAGTTTTCCAAAGAGAAATTTGGAAGCTCACCTTAWTAAGTAATCACAAATGTACAAATAACTAAATGAATTAGAAAAAAAAATCTGGAAAGCAGCCTGAGGTACTYAAACTACTACTCAAACTTTCTCGTAAGCTTAACGGTTGGTAATGTGAGCATTAGCCACCCTCTATCCTTGCAAATTACAATGGGAATGCCAGCTAAGAAAAGTAAAAAAAAAAAAATCCTACCCCAAAATCATGCAGTCATATATGGCTCTTTTCATGGGATGACATGTGAAACATAYACCCTTATGATGTATTTTCCCTGAGAGAACTGGATGTTAAGACATGGATAAATGACAAGGAAATCCGAAGCTCTTCCCATCCTACCACCTCATATTCCCTAAAATCTGTAATCTGAAGACCACATCAATGTCTGGTGATGAAGATTCTTACAATATGTGCTTACAGCCTATGAGCAAAGACAGGACAATTTATTTTGTTCCTCTTTGAAACTTACTTTTGAATAAAAAMTTATTTTACTTATTATCAGTAACTCTGTTTTCTTGAATTGATTGTCTTTTCTATTAAACTGAGATAAAACACTTTCTCCTTCTCAGTTAGCACTACCTAGGATTGTAAACTGACTTTGGACTTAACTGGTGGATAAAAACACATTCTGTTTCAACTAAATTCATATCATTGATTTAATCTCCCAAACAGGGATTCAAAGGAAGTTTTTACTCAGTTTTGAAGTTCCTTCCTGATCACAACAACCCATCACAGCTTTAGTGCCAGCTTGGAGCTATTACCTGACCACCATTTTGATGGGATACACACCAACTCTCAGTTTCTTCTGTTCAGGTATGTTGTAGGATATTCGTCCACTGCTGTTGGATATCTCTGTGTCAAAATACACCCACCTACCCGAGGATGGCTCAGTCATTACAAAGATATCCACCTGCAAAACCAATGAAACAGTAATCCAGCGTGACAGTCAACAAAACAGCCCCTATTTACAACATCTGCCAAGCCTAGATAATATTAGTATCTCCAACCACAGCTTTTTGTAAAATCTTACAAGGAAGTTAGAAGGAACTTMAAGACTCAGTAAGAACTTCAAGGAGAGTCCTCTCAATAAACAAATGCTTTCTAACATACAATACAGTAATAATACAGTTATTATGCAGAATTTATTGTATTCATAATTTAGAGCACTAAGCTTGGCACTGCAGGTATCAAATACAGGTACAGAAACTTGTCAGGAATCCTAAACTATGAAAAAGAATTAAATCTTGCATGGCTATATTACCTTTTTGCACATTAAACCTACAAAACAGAAAATTTAATCTGGCTATTGAAATGAAATCTTCCTCAAAACATAAACTCGCCTACAACCAAAATACTTCAAATTATCAAAAGATTTCATCAATATGGTTTTCTTCTTTTCGATTGAATATCTCACAAAAATTAACATCAAGGATATTAAATACTTTGCTGGATCTGAAACAGGTCAAATGAAGCCTCCACGCTTCAATTTTACCCTCAGCTCAGCAGCACTGCTCTCTTATTTTGCACAGAAATTCTTACAATGTCAGTGAATATTAACAAATGTGTTCACTTGATGCTTGGCTTTATTAGCTGTAAGCCTGGCTTCTGCAGGTTCCACATTACTGCTAATTTCTATGATTGTGTCACATTACTGCTAATTTCTAAAACTAATCTTTACTTGCCCATGTGTAAGAGAAACAGCAGCCACCTAACCTCCAGAATGGCTATTCCTTTATCCAGCTGTTTTACCTGGATAGGATGAAACATGATTTTCTTTCAGTGCTTTGTCAACTACTATAAAATTCTTTTTTCCTCCTTCCTTGGAATGTTAATYGTCTCCAGGATGTGGTACAGCTGGATGGCAGATTCAGGAACCATTGCACAGCACACTCATCACTAACCACAGGAGACAGCCATAATCAGGTAAGAGAGATGAAAGCTTGGGAAAAGGTCAGTGATCAGGAAAGCCCACTTTACAGCATATTTTTTTCTGAAGTAGTGGGGGCTAGTGGCATATTCCTCCTCACTGTAAGGTGTTCTCTGATACGCGTGTGCTACTTACAACAACTGCTTCTAGTAGAACTAAGAAAATTGATTACTTGGACGTCACCTTTTCACCTGTTAAAGCCACCATGTCCAGAGGTCCATACATAAAGCGCCCAACTAGAACCTGAGGACCATCTTCTGCTGCAATGACATCATTAGCTCGGTGATTAGCAGTCACATTCTGAAAGAAGAGCAGAAGATGGGAAGGGTAGTAGTTTGTTTTTGTCACAAGGCTACTGACTCTACAGTGTTATGAACAGTGACACAGAAACACGTCCTGAGGTAGGTCACAGTGCACCTCACAGAAATGAGCAGAACTGCATTTCCATTTCATCTGGAGCCTGAACTCACTAATTGTGGGTTCCTGAATGGACTTTCTAGAGAGAGTGCTCAAGATGCCCAAGTAAGAGAGCACATTTAAGGGAAAGCCAGTTACCTTTCATTTCAAGTGGTGCCATAGATCCACATCACTATGTGCAGGGCACATCCATTTTAACTGACATCACTAACCGAATTAACATCGGAAGAATGGAGGAAATACTTTTGCTTGACTTCTGAATTTGTCTACCATGTCTATGCAAAGAAACTTCTTTGCAAAACAAAAACTTGGGGCCTGTCCGTTATTTAAAGAAAAAAATATACTTTCTCCCAACATGTAGTGATAAACCAAGAAAAAAATYGCCTCTATTCCCTAACCATTACTCTGCCTGCCTCTGGATTGTTTGCAGTTTTCAGCTCTTTAGTGATATCCAGTTTTGCAAATTCTTACTTGGGGAGATCAAACTCCATTTAAATTTCTGCCCAACCCATGCTCCATAACTGCTACATATATTCAGAGTTAAACTTACTCTCAATTTGACATGTGTCCTTTTGCGTAGCCATTTTTCTCGCGGATTGGATGGACTTAGCGTTTCTGGGTCCAGGTTGTCATTTTCCTTAAAATTTACATTTTCATACCTCATCACCTGAAATTATATCAGTATTTTAATAYGTAGTGTATGGGCCAGAGTGTCCTGGTACTTGCCAAAGAAAGAGAAATTACACTGTTACCCCAGCTGAACGRCACTGCAGAGCCAAAAGCACAAGGGAAGAGAGAAAGATAAAGCCGTACGTTCATATTAATTGCACAGACAAAGAAACTGCTTGCACTCTGTTGGCCAACACTTAACCTGAAATACTTACTGAACTTCTCTATTCACAACGGAGCCTGCACATTTCTCCCAAGAAAATGGTGAAAACATTAGGATGGCATCAAGTGAGAGTCACATTGTCTGATTATGGTCTGCAAAGTCAGTAAAGCAGCTTGAAACCACAGAAGCAATTTTTAATGTCCTTTATGTGGTAGACAGACTCCTGACTTCATCTGTATTGCTTTTCTATAGATCTACTCAGAGAGAATGGTTCCGAGCCCTTTTGGGKATTACTCACTACCGCAGTGGGTGGTAGGCTCAGGTTTGGCCAGTGGCTGCCAATATCCAAAGACAATCAGAGAATCCCAGAATATCCTGAGCTGGAAGGGACCCACAGGGAGGCTCTGAAGTCCCAACTCATGAACAGTCAGAACCCTAACATGTCATACACATTCTTACAACCTAAATATTACGCATTTACCAAGAAATTTGCATGTCTTACTCAGATTTCAGGACACAACCCACAGAATTTAGAACCATGTATTATGCCACATTTCAATTGAAACCACAAGCCCTGTCTCACTGAAATCTGTGGCTCGCACCTGCAATCATGAATAGCTGTTTTGAATGAGAAATAGATTAGTTTGTCTCTTCCACACTAGCAGCTAATTTACCTGTCTTAAAATGAAGGCCACAACATCTGTTGATTCCCAGTAGCTAGCATGAAAGAGATGTGGCAGGGCCACCGTTGGAAAGGCTGTCAGCACATCTGGACAATACAAGGCATAATCTATTCGTTTTGTTCCCCACCACTTTGCAGTAACTACAAAAAATGAAACAAAATAGCATAACACTTCTGTATCAATAAATTTCTTGCTGTCTTTATTTTTAAGCTAGTATATTAAGTTTCCTGCTTTCTTAATCTTGACATTTTGAGTCTGTCTAAGGTATCTATCATTCAGAAAAGTACTGTTTTTACTGATGCATTGTCACTTAACTGCCTGCAATCCAAAGAGTTCATCTGGGTCCAAGTTGGGGGAAGCAGAAATCACCTCTACATGATCCCTATTGCTTCCTGGTCCATGGAAAATGTAGAGTGAAAGACTAGCACTTTTATGATCATGTTATATGGTAAGAATCGCAAACACTTCCCAAGCAGTGAAGTGAATATTGACACAGATAGATAGATAGATAGATAGATGATAGATAGATAGATAGATAGATAAATAGATAGATAGATAGATAGATAGATAGATAGATAGATAGATAGATGATAGATAGATAGATAGATAGATGATAGATAGATGGATAGATAGATAGATAGATAGATAGATAGATAGATAGATAGATGATAGATGGATGGATAGATAGATAGATAGATAGATAGATAGATAGATAGATAGATAGATAGATAGATAGATAGACAGATACATATTTACATGCATGTATGACTATAGTCCCTAACAGGACAATATAATGATTTATAGCATTTTTGATTTTGAGTAACAAGTCTTATCTATACTGCTTCATGCCTGGAACGTGATCATAAACCCCTGTTACTATGAAACTTGTGGTTTTTTATGAGTGGCACCTTAATATAAAACTGTGACTTCTTTTCTATTACTTTATCTAATTACAAACAGAAAAGGAAGATAAATTGTGTTATGTAAAATTGCAGAAACTTGGGCTATTCTCATTGTCCCCAAATTTCAAGAAGATACTTTTTCTTTTCATAATAAAGTTTTTCACAGAAACAATGTGGGGGTAAGGCTGTTGCCATATCCAACAACACATGGCATCAGGYTTCACTCACTGTTGGTGAGGCATGCTGATGACAAGCTTTCAGTTGACCCAGAGTTTTCACTGKTTGTGCTGCCCAAGCTCAACTTTCTTGCTTTCCCTTGCGGTCGATCAGATGCATTTGGAGATCCAGGACTCTCCTGAGAGAAAGGTATGTTCAAAGAGCTATTCTCAAGGAACAGACCACTGTGATTGTGGAGAGCATCACCTGCAGGTTACAAAAATGAAAATAACATTTACAAAAAAAAAAGGGACATACATCGTGGTTTTGAACCTAGTGTTTGTGTGTATCTCTTATTTGTTTATTCATTCATTTATTTTTAAATACAGTGGTAATGAGCATTTTCCTGAATAGTATTACGTTTAATGCCCATGGATGAAACTTCCTCCTTCGGAGTGAGAAYTGCATAACACAGCTCGACTATATGGAGATAGCACACCCTAATGTCAAGAAGTGCAATGGCARCTGGGTGCTTTTGGCCAGAGTTTTCCAAACTGGGTAGCGATACTGGGAGGCTATTTTACTTTACCCTCAACCCTACTCATTTTAAAGTCATCTTCTTAGAAGACTATCACAGTCCTGAAGTCTGTGATACTTCTCTGGTCCTCTTTCTGACATGTGCAAAATGACTTTAGAATTTCCAGCAGGGCTATCTACTGGTTTGCATTTCCCAAATGGAATAGAATAGAACAGAATTCTCATTTATTCATGCCAAAATCAGAGCAATACCTCTACTCAATGAAACAAAACACAGCCTTCCTTCTGAGGTCTTCTGAAACCCRTAAGAACAGATGTGCTCTTAAATAAAAGCATTAGTGGTATCTTTGCTTTAAACATCCACATCCTCGTAGCCAGGAAAGGCAGAACCTCATCTTAGACTCAGGTTATACAACAAAGTGCATATCAAAAGCAGCTGACTCCTCAGTGCTGTTCCTCAGAGAATAAATCTCTCCGAGAGATAAAAACAGTGAAAAAAAGAAAAAGGAGACTGGGTTCAATGCACATGACACAAAAGAAAGGATATGGCCCTTAATGATGTATTGCTCTATTTTTGAGCATATTTCAATTCYGTTCAGGCAATGACTTGCAGTCATGCTGTGCTCATCATTCACGTGGTCTTGGGTTGGGGAACATGTCATATGATTCTTTATGTGCTGGACACCTGGAAAAGTTTCTGTTCAATTTTTCAAGTCCTACTGACTCTCAAGGCAATGAATACCTCAAAGGTGCACACAGGAGAACACAATAACACATTGCTGCTTCTAAGAACACCATTTAAACCCCCCTCCTCCCACAATGGAAGTCTATAGCTTATCAGAACTGGTAAAACAATTAATTAAATGAAAACAAATAGCAGTACAGCTCCCTAAAATCTCCTCCCTTCCAAAAATGAGACTTGGTCAGAAAGATTCTGGCTTGTTTTGTCATAAGCCTGAATATCTCAACTGCAAAAAACAACACAGAGAACTGCCCTGCAACYGAATGAGAGAAACAATGCAATTCTAACACTTCGTGATGGGTATGTAGTTTGGACAGAATATGCTCAACTGCAGTTTCCATGGGAACATGGGTTTTTTTCATCAAAAGAACTGCAGCATACTGCTCTTTCAAGGCAAACTTGTTGACATGTAGTGTAGCTATATGTAGCTAAAGGAGAGCTTGATGAAGGTGAAAAGAATGGAAGGATAATTTTATTACCTCCCTTATCTCAGGCAAATTATAGTGACCCCAACACAGTCATCTGAAAAGAAAATGCAATACCACTTTCCTATTACTTATCTCACAAGACAAGGCAGCATTATTATGCTTTTTGTCCTGAAAGAAGCAACCTTCCTAATGGCTCTGAGAGTGACTAAAATTTATTATTTGTCCCACTAATCTAAATTTACTATCATGCTTGATATGAAATAAAGAGAGATCATTTTACAGTCTCAGTTTGGATAATTATGATAGTTACAGCCAATACAAAGAGACAAAGCAAACTTCAAAGCCAYAGTAACTATCTCCAAATAAAATTATCAATACTTTATTTCATGCATATACAGTTGGGGAAGTACTGTGCTTTTAGATGTTTRCTTCTATCTGTCCATAATGAAGCAGAGCAGCTGGACCAGCCACAGTCTGGGACTGGCATCCGGCACATTCCTTATAAAGAAGACTTTTCAGGAGAAAAGTTTTGCAATTATTTCAATTGTGTTGCAAAGTAAAATGTGAGGCAGAAGCTCAAACAATAAAGAAGATAATGATTATCTACCTCCTGATATGTCAAATGTCTAAAAAGTAGGATGTTTTAAATTAATACACAACTATTTTTTAACTCCGATAGATATAATGCATCATGTCATAAGCAGGAAAGCGAAAAAAAGAAAGGAATTAAATCACAGTAAGTATCAAAAACATGAGTGGTGGTAAATCAGAGATGTATTACAMACCTAAGCCTTACTTATAACAGCTACGAAAGCACCTTGATTACAAAATGTTAATTAGGTAGCAGCTAAGAAAGCTGCTGCTTAGTGATAGGTCGAGACAGTTTTCTCTGGGCTGTAACACAGCCTGAACTTGTACCTTGCCCTCACAGTGAARAACCCCACCAGTTAATAGATCACACTTTTGCCTGAACCATTACCTCTTGCTACATCTTGTGTCAGGAATCACCRCAGGTAAACGAGTAGGAAGGGAAATGTTTTCCCTCGCTGCTCTGCATGCCGGGCAGTTTTCAATGCAGACTCCTACTTCTACTTTTACAGTGGAGTGTCTGTATATCACACTCAAAAAAATGAACTCAAATCTTATGTTATTAAGCTATTTCATCAGCTGTCTAACATTGGCATCATGTTCACATTAGGAATGGCAGCAACAGGAGATAAAGTTGCAACTGACCCGCATTCTGTATTGACAGAAAGAGGAATAATTCTTTGGGCTAGTCCAGTCTCTGTAMTAGTCAAAATCAAACCCAGTAAGAGTCAGCTTTCATCCTCCTGAAGCTCTCAATAGATCAATACACACAAGTCACACAGAAAATAATAATACAATTATTATACATTGATTAAAAATTACTGATGCCTGCTAGACACAGAAGGCAATTGCCCAGATAAATGTGAGTCCTGCTCTTTATGTCCTGCCATTTAAGTCTTAGATGTTTCCTGAATCTCACTCAAAAAAGTAAATTTGATAAAATAAAACCTTCAAGATAAACCCTATGCACAGAGCATGTGGCTTCAATAGCTTAATTAGACCGGCAAGCACTGAAAGCTAGCTATTAAAAAATCCCTCCACACGACCCACTCGTTTTCATGTCCTCCAGCCTGTGTTACTGTSGAACTGTTCCTATGAATCCTATGGTGAAATTTTCTTGGATGAGTAAATTTTTTGTCAGACACCTTCCTGATCAGAACTAATTTTTCACATACAAACCTATCAGGATTGTCAGATAGCAGAGTTGCTCTTATTGTAACCATCTATTCTCATGAGAAAAGGAACAATAAATGAGATTGTTTAATGATGAGAAGGGTTATCAGAAAAGGCTGTTTAGGGCAGTGCATAATAAYTAGCATTTGGTGTAAACAGACTGCATTGTAACTAGTTAGTCAGACTTTACAGTAGCTCCAAGTCAGAAAAAAAAGCAAGGTACGTATTTCCATTGCAAGAAAATTCAACCAGGAGAAAGCAGACATTCCCTAGTCTGGACTGTTTCTCAGCTTAGCTATTCCCTAAATCAATTCATGAGGACAAGCCAGATCTTTACACATTGCAGTGAAACCAACACCTAGAAACAAACCTTGAGCAACTCAAGATCGACTGTTGCTTTTCAAATTGATTTGCATCCAATGTACACCACATTTRAGCAAATAAGAGTTAGAACTGGGTCCCAAATGCAATTCTCCTAGTTTCAACAAAAAGAAAACTTTGCCATTTTATTGTATTAGCCTCCAACCTTAAACTCTGAATCCTGAATTCCTTTTCAAATATCCCGCCAAAGCTTGGATTTACATCTGAATCTGTAGCAAAAAGAATAAATCTAATATAAAAGCATGTACAGATACATACTGACAAAGTCCTTTTTTGCTTAACATGATAAGTCAAAGATACTTCATACCTATATGATTTTACCTTATTTTCTATAAAGTCAAAAAAGCACTGTTCCTTCCACCTTACTCATCCACAACTTCCTCTTTTCTCCTCAGAAATCAGTCTATTTCTGTTTTTCTCCTGCATTCAAATCTTTATTACCCAACATAATTATTGTTTAGTAGCCCACCTAGGAGAAGAGCAATCAAGAATGCTCAGTGCTCTCATYTGTCCTTGTAGATATCCACAACAAACCAACCACAAGTGACCAACAGAAACAACATGTGAAGATCTAGGCAAAGATCAACTAATCATAAAAATAAACTTTTTWAAATGATAGTCTAAGACATGAAATGTTCCAAGTGACACTTGAACTAGAGCAGTGTTGCCTTCCAACCCCTTTTTAACACAGCTAGTATCACAAACCTCATGTGCAAGAATAATTTTTTCTTCATAATCTTTTGGTTCCACACTTGTTAAGTAGGCCTGTGCTACTCAGTCCCAGATGACTTGTTTTTAACATGTTAGCACGTTGCTATTCCGATTTCTCTTCAGCTGTGTAAGGAGAGAACACTTAAGAGAACAACAGGCAATGAGAGCTATGAAAACAGGCACTGTACCTAACTGGTGAGATCTTCCATCCCCGAGTGGGTATCTCTGGTACCGTGGGACACTGAATGGAGGAAGGAGATGGAATCTTTTCTCCAACAATGGTTCAAGTCTGCATGCAGAGGGGTCAGCAGAGTGAAAGAAACTGTACACTTGGCTGCAGGCTGGTCGGACCTGGCAWACTTGGATGAGAATGAGAGAGAGAGATCAGTAGTGGCCCTTTACAGTTCTCAAGGAGTCTGCACAGAAACACAGTTAATATGGTCTTCTGCAAACTCCAGATTAGCACACGTGTGGTCAAAATAAATTTAACTGCATGTAAAGAACACTTCACTGCACATGAGTTTACAGAGRTATCACAATCTCACATGCAGACATGTAGAGATGGAAGAGCAGCCAGAGAAACAGACGAAACAGAGAAGCAAGGGAGGGAAAAGAAGTTAAAAATCTTGTAAATATATTACTGAGCATTACAGCTGTGATGCTCAGCACTTCAAAATTTACCAGCAAAATGGTTTGATGGGCCTGTGACAAACCTAGGTGACAACAGAAGCAGGTAGGTGACAGGAAGTACTGCAGTTTCTTAAGTCACCTTATGGATGCTCATGTTCCCATCTTTCAAAAGAAAGAAACTCACCTCACTCCCTAATCTTTAATTAGGCACCTTTATTTACCTCCTTTTTGTGAGAGCCTCTTTGCTTACAAAGGTCATTACACATCCTGTATTTTAACCCCAAGAAGAGCTTACCATCCAGGCCAGGCAGAACAGTGCTCCTCATGGCCAGCACCAAACCAAGAGGTGATCCAAAAAGGAAGAAATCAGACACCTCAAATTCAAAACGGCCCAGATTTACTTCTGAGAGAGTGGAATCCACTGGCGGAAGGTCTGGACCATCTTTCAACACACTTGAGTGGATGCTGAACAAAGAAAAGACTGAATCAAACATAAGGAAGAGGGTAYTCAGAAAAAAAAAAATATCGAAATAGGCTGCTTAGATAGCTCTAGCTCTAGATCCAAGCACTGCACTATGCTCAACTCCAGCAGAATTGCAACTTCAACACACAGTAAGACTTCTTCCTCTGCATCACTCACAGTGAAATAAAGGAAATACAATGATAGAAGAAACAAAAGCCCAAATAATTCACGTAAGTAAAAACCCAAATAGAAGGAACAATGAGASAAAGGGAATGCTTATGTTGCCATCCCACGTATTTCAAAAGTTTTTAAGGATAAAGGAAAGTTAAGTTCACTTCTCCCCCAAATCTCCTCCTTCTTGCATTTAAGGCAAATGTTTATGCAGGGATTGTTTTGTTGTTGTTTTAAAGCTGATTTGAAAAGCTCAATGACCAATGGGAGCACCTGAAGCTGTTATTTCTCCAGAGATTAATAAAAATCCTGAAAGTGAAGTCAGAGAGATCGTAAGAAAGAAATCTACAATTATAAAGTATTCATCCATCTTGTTGTGAGTGGCTGTACTGAAGAAACAGAATTTTGTGCATTCATTTTTGTATGTTCAAAACCTTCACAACTGAATAAAGATTAAATAAAAAAACTCTCCACATGTGAGAAGTTTCATACTAGACCCACTAAATCCATGGTTTTGTTTGAGGGATGGAAAAAAAACTGTAAGCAAACCTCCAGAAACATACCACAAACACTAACAATGCCTCTGTGCTCTGGTGCCAMCAGGCTCCACTCAAGGGCAGGCCTATTTCTTTTGCTTGGTCATTGAACAGCATTACCTAGAGAGGAAAGCATGGTGCTGTGTTATAGTGTCACAGTCAAACGTGGAAGAGTCACTCCCTTTCCGAGGCAGCGGCTGCCTTTGCTTCTCATCCTCCATCATTCCTGAGATGTCAGTATTGCTTTTGCTCAGGTGTTTGTCATCACACAGATTGGAGTCCTCTGCTAGGAGTGGATTATCCTTCAGAAAATGAAGAGTAAAAGGAAGATTTAGACACCTCACAGCATCAACTGTAATTCATCACACCCACTCCATATCCACTTGACCAGAAGTACATAAGATCAGTTGAACTTCAATTTTCTTTATTAAGCATGTTGCACACAATAATGAACTTTACATGCTAGCATTACTTTAATTAAAAACCTGTCCTTTCCTATAGTAAATTCTTCCYTGGATCACAGGTAGAATAAATCCACTCTTCTCTGCAAATGCAGCACTTGTATAGTAACTCACTGGTCCATTCAAAGATCCCCAGGTGACCTGCATTCCTTATGAAGAAAGAGGCATTCCTTCACTAATCTCTAAAACTTATTTATAATCTGTCTTACAGCTAGACTACTCCCAGGCAGTAGCATAAGGAATTCCACACTCCAGGTGAACAAATTAAAAAAAAAATATTTTGAACAAAAATGGCAGCCTACCGGAGATCACTGAGCGAGGACATATTCACATCTACAATTAAGGATACAATAAAGGGCATTTGATAACCCTCTTTTAAAGACTAACAGATAAAGCCTTTGCTGCTGATTTCTGTATATCATAAAACTGAAGCTGACAACTTAATTTTTAACAGCAAATTTTTAGTATATGGGCAGAATCCCATTCTATCATGGTAATTTACCAAATCCTTAAATTTTCTCGGCCTATATGGAGCTGATTTTCTCCAGCAAAGGAATCAMTAGGGTTTCAGATGTGTGCCATTTTTTTCTCTTCACCTGGATGCTGCTGATGCTTCCTCTCCTGCTACTGTTCCGACTCTCGTAAGCTGTATTAGAATTATAGCAGATKGCATCAAAGCCCAAAATTCCTCCAATGCAGTCACCTATGAGACATACCTGAAAKAAAGATTTTTTTGGGAGATGTAGCAAGTGTTTTATTTAAAAGAGACAAAAAGCATCACAGCACTGCAGAGGAGTTTCTGTCTTACTGCACACCCTCGTTACTGTTTTTTACACTTTGGTTTACACTGCAGCTACTTTCTTCTACTTCCAGAAATACACCCTAYGCCAAGAATATCTATCCCAGGGACTATTTTGATGAGTAGGAGTTCTGTCAAATGGATTAGAACTCTTCCAGCTGCTTGCAGCCAAATTCGAGCTCGAAAAATCCAGATCACGGGATGACTGGTGTCACCAAGATTTCAAGCCACTAAACGTTTCCTTCAGAGTCACAYAGGGGAGTGAATCACAACAGATTGGCACTCCCCTGTCAGGACAAGGGAACAGAACTTTAAAATGAGGCATCAAGCAGAGAGATTCACTCTTGCTTTACATTTAACATAAACATAGAAGTTATCTTCAAAGTATGGATGTGGCAATTAAAAATACATACAACACTGAAACTGGGAATTCAGGAGCAATTTTCTGGTACACTAAAAGCTCCCTCACMAGCCAATTCCACCGAACACCTCCCACCCCACACGAGATCATTGTTTCTCCCTGTGCCCCTGTSCATGTTTGAGTGTGAGCAATAGCTTGACAACACGCCCCATCAAGCCTCTCCCTCCAATTCTCAAACTGAAACAATTGTCTAATCTGCTTTTCCCAACTCCGATTAGCATAACAGAAGATGTTACAAACCTTACCTTATTTCTAACCTTAATTCAGCTTGGCTACTACACTAAACTACAAGTTTTGGATACAGGATATTGTATCTGAAGTGAAGAATGTTAGGAAAAGTGAGTTCTTAAAGATGCAGGAAGGGAAAAATCCCAAACATTTTCAGTGCATATATATATAGCACTCTTGCTGTATTGAGTACATTTCTTGTACTCAACTAAAATTACAAAAAACACTTAAAAATTAAATATCAAAATACTTTCATGTAACATCTATCCTAAGATATCTCTGGTTCTAAAGTTGTATACAACTGAACAGTGTATGCCAGTTTACTCTCTGATTTTCAAACTCCTATGCCACATAATGAAGTTTATGAAGAATTGAAAACCATATGATAGAGCTAATCTTAATTAAATTAACAATACTTTTTGTAGAGAATTGGCAATATCTTCCTCAATTTACCACTATATTTCTAATCCTTATTATTACTRGCATTAAAAGAAAGAAGTTAATTAGTTACAGATACTATATAAAATCAAAAGGCAATCTCTGATCAAGTGAACTTGCAATATAAATTGACAGAATCTGAAACAAAATGACAAAAGGAGAGATAGACAAAGGGTATGTGTCAGTATATATTATACATATTTGATCAGTACAGGACTTATTCAGAGGCAGAGCTGAAATTTCTATCTAAGGGGCAAACAAAGCACTGTAAAAAGCACAGAGAAGTCACTTCCATTTTAACAGTGCTGATAATTGATGGTGAAAATTCTGTGGAACATACAGAGGTCAAGCAGAGTCTTCCACAGGAAATAATATATATTATTTGTAAAACACAACAGGGAGACTTTCTTGTAGCTTTGTCATAGAAAAAAAATCATAACACTAAACTTGCATAGAAAAAAATTTTCACATTATTTTTGTCACCGGTATCATTGTTCTTTACATAATTTCACCTTTCATAATGTATTGTCACTGCAGTTGGGTTGGTGTTATGCTTCAAGCAATAACAGTTTACTATGCGTAGTAAGAATGRCTTCAACCCAAATTTTAGTCTAAAAATATTGATATATCACAGCACAATCTTRTTAGTGCCATGGAAAATAATTTGTTTGTATAATAAGGCACATGCTTCCTTAAAGTTTACACTGTACTCTATATTAAATGTATGTTCTTTCCTTAAGTGTGGAGGTCACTGTACTTAAAGTGCCTGTTTCTGGCCATTGYAGATGGCCCCATAACAAAATAATATCAGTAACTCACACCAAGCATCAATATCATATTTCTGTGTGAAGCAGGAGGTTYTGTTGACTAAAGACAGTGAAGCAGGAGCAGTAACTGACTGTTACTGTCAGTCGGAAGAAACCTGTAGGTGACTTCACTGGTGAGCAGGTCACAACAGAAAGATCGCATTATTTCCCAAGAGTTAGACAGGAAATCTGCAACACTGAGCATTTGTCTTCTCTGTTTCTTTACTGCCAACTGCTTTATTACTATAGTGATGGAGGCAAAGAAGAAATAATAGTTCAGTATTGGATTTCTTAGGCTCTCGGAGGTGTCTCAATTTTTCCATCAGCTACGTGTGAAGAACTCATCAACGCAGATGATTGTTTGTCTCGGGCTGCCAAGTTCGTTACATACCCCACTTATTGTACAGTAACAAAGTAAGAGCTTAWGAGTCAAAGTGCTTGTGGGAGAATGTATATAATCTTCTACCAGCTAATGTATATCTTCTACCAGCTAAGTAAGTCCATGAGATAGTGAACAGGATTCCAGAAGTGCCTTTCTCGTGCTGGATACTGAGAAGGCACTTTGTGTAGGTGATCCTATGTTAACATTCATTCATCATATTAGTAAKGTTGTCCCACATGTGTAACTCAAAATGCTCAACACAATGGCTTAAAAAGGAGCCTTGCTCTGAAGGGATTTTACTGTGATGCAAGAGAAAATAGTCCTACCTGTCCATTAAAACCAGCCCCATCAGTAGATTTGAGAAACTCATTGTAAACCTGATTGGCTCTACTGATCACCATGGCAACTGCATCCTGGTACTGAGGAGATGAAACAGCCAGCAAAGGCAAGGCAGCCAGGGGGATGTGGTCTTCACTGCTGCTCAGACAGCTCTCATCATAGCTGTAGGGATTTAGGCTAGAAAAGGATATGTTAGCATCAGGAAAACTGCAAGAGGCAGCACAAGCATTAGAGAATGAGCAGTTACTAACAGAAACAGGTTGGGCTATTGCAGTTCACAATGAATGAACACAAGAAGGATCATCTTCTCACAGAATTCAACTGCTTAAAAAAAAATGGTGACCAATGGCCCAAATGCACAAAAATGACCTTCCAAACACTCTTTAGTGTTTCACCTCTTCTTGTATCAGTCCTCTTGCTTTGCAGAGCAGCACCTTGCATACATATACGCACAGAGTAGCACATACACATACTTTTTTCCTGGTTGTTTCCATGTTGCAAATTATGAAAATGATGTTTCTATGATGCAAGCAGTAAGGCACAACTTTCACCAGTGTGGTCTGCATCCTGCCACCTCTTCCTCCGATGCCTGTCACTGCTTTAAGTCCAGCTAGTATTTCAGAGCTTTATTGCATTTTCCATTTGTCCTCTCTAACTCTGTCATCTGGACAGYAGGCATTACCATTTCTCCATCTTATGGATCAAAACATGGTTTTAGACCTCCTCAAGTCTTCTGCAGGGTTTTCTGCTCTCCATGAGCTTCAAATGTAACCCTGGGCATTACATCACAACAAAAAAATACTATAAGAGCAACCATCACCTACAGAAGCCCCAGATAAAGCCAAGAGAAGTTTTGTTTTGCTTAGGAAAGCAGAAATCAAGAAAATATGATTCTCTCCTTTCCTCACCAGAGTTCAATAGTTAATCTTGATTTGCACTTGTAGAAAAGTTGAAGCAGTTCCAAGAGTATGTGTTTCTTTCTCCTTTCTCTATCGTGCCATTTAAAATACTTATGTCATGGAAACTAATGTTACCTGGAAACATTCTCTCACTCAATGACTGAATTTCAAGACTGAAAAAGCAGCTGAGGATGAGCAGCTACTGAAGTGAAGACATCAATGAAAAATGTTTTTTAAAACAAATTCATCCACTTAGAAAAGGATAAAAGATTGCTTCAAGTCTTGCAGTCAGCAAAAGATTAAGAAGGATTTGCAGAATTTCATTATGAAATATATGGGTCACGGAAAGTCATTCAAAGCCACAATGCAAAACCAAACACCAGGAAATACAAATCAACCTACCTGGAAACAAGGGAGAAAGCTGCTGAACAGATTGCTGGGCAGGGAACAAGTCTCATTAAGATGTGGCCCAAAGAGGCAGGGAAATGGGCTCGGGTCACCTTCTCAAACACGGAACTGAAGGTGTTGATGTCYGCCAGCTTGGTGCTGTGGTCTCCACCTCCAGTGTCTAATATGTTCCCCCCGTGTAGAATCAAAATTAATACATGAGTTTTGCAGATCTGGTGTTGAACTCCTTCCTGTGAGAAAAACAGGAAATAAGAAAGGAGGAGGCATTTTTATGGGCTTTGTTGGCTTACTTGGTGTCAATATTAGCAGTGATTTCTTCTTTCTCCTGCCCCCACCGTGATAGTTGTGTGATATTTCCTTTCACTGGAGTGGGTGGGGGTGTGTGCAAGTCCTGTGTTCCGTTTAATTCAAGTGTGCCTGAATCACACTATGCTCTGACACAAACCCTGTGCACACAAATGTAGATTTCAGATCAACAAAGATTAAGATAGYTTTGTACATCAAAAGGTACTTCAAATACTCTGAGACTAGAGAAGAATTTCAACCTCAACAGGCAGCATAAGCAATCATCTGTCTAGGTATCGTAATGATTGCTTCATTTACTGGCAAGTTCCTCATTCAAATCATCACAAGTTCAAAAAAAACAAATTTCTCTGCCAATGAAAACCTTCTGCAAAAGCMGATGATACAGTTGTCTCAGACTTTTGAGACTGGTAGCTTTTTATTAAAATGAAAGATATGGGTAATTTACCCAGACACTTACTGAAAAAGTAAAAAAAGACAACACTGCTGATATCCATAAAACTCACAGAACAATTCTGGAATATGTGAATAGGCTYGTATACAGACAAGTATCTAGCTTTGTAGAATAACCAAGATATTTCCTACTTGAAACCAGAAAAGCATGTTGAATGTCTCACAATTCCACCTTTTTTTCTTTAACCCTTGAGACTCATGTGCACTTAAAGAAGTCAGTAATAGAGTCAAAGATTAGACTTTTTGTTGTTAAATCTTGACTGCTATTTTCCTCTTCACTTTGGATTACATGATTCCTTAAGATTTCTAGTTCCTGACCAAATATGAACACACAGAGAAAACAGCAGTAATATTTTTTGTCTAAGGATCGTTAAATGCTAGATTGGGTGATTTACTGGGAATCAGGCAATGCTCTGGACAGTTTGTTCTTAAGTTCTGGAAGCAAAGGAAATGGGCAACTTGTATAATGGTGACAGAGAGATGGCTGAAAATGAGAGAATTGTAGGTTATTCCACTATCTCTGTTCAGCTCATGAATTTTAGTATCCAGTAGAAGTACTCATTGTGAAGACATTTTGCTGACCTGACTTGTATCTGCTCAAATACAGGAGAATCATACGAGCAGCTCTCAGGTTCCACTTTTCCATGCACTGATTTACAATTTCCTCCTCCAAAAGGTTTCATTCCTGTTTTCAGAAGAGAAATGTAATTCCCTTTAAAAGCTAAATGTAGTTCCTTCCATGGACAATGCCTGCTTGTAAATAAGCAGCATTGCTGATGTTGATGGAAGTGAAAGCTTCAAAAATGAAAAATTCAAATGGGTTAATATTGCTGAAGTCACTGTTATGAGAAGTCTCTCAGCTAGATTTAACTGGTATGTTTCACAGGAAGACTCAAAGGAAATAAAATTAATTTGCCTCTCAGCAGTAGCTCAGCCATGACTTAGACAAGGTGTTCGAGGACTAATCRAGTGGACATCTGAAGCCAGTCAATGACTGTCATAATTTCCAGGGGGCTRTAGGATTCAAATTCTTCAGAAACAGCAGACACTTCCACTACCTGTCCTACATGTGAACAGAGGACCTTAATCACTTTGCTGGAAGGACCCAAATGTGTTGAGATTCCTTTCTGCTTCTAAAAAAAAGCAATTCTGTTATCAATTTCATGATTGCTGCTGAAAGTGCTTCACAAAACCTGCATTTCCACTCAAGTACTAAGCAGACATAACAATTTCTCTTTAGAGAACTGAGTCTTATTTCCACCTAAGTATGCAATGTCTAAAAAGCTTGTGATGATTTTCAATTATTGCATGTGTATGCGCTGAACAAGGGGAAAACACACTAAGTGATCAAATGAGTTTACAATTACATAACACAATATGAGAGTACTTTCACATGTCTGCACCTTGAAAAAGAGCACGGCTTGTTTTAGGAAACAATCTCACCTCATTGTCCTCATGTATTTCAATACTGCCTTGTGCAGGGAACCTTTGTTTTCTTAAAGAGGCTCTATATAATTCACCTGAAAGGAAAAAAGACATATTGGTCATATAAATATTTGTTTGCCACCTTTTACAGACATCTATGGCAGGTAAGGCACATTCCTAATTTCAAGAGAGAAAGTTCTGTTCACAGAAAGTCCTGTAGACAAACAGAACAATACACAAGGTTTCTTGCAGCTCTACAYATTAGAGGCTTTTCTGTTCTTATTAGCAATATATGAAACAGGATTCAGGTCCTTATCCAGGGSCATGTAGCACCAGTGCAGCTGCTGTTGATCATCTGTGCCTGTCTGAAGCAGCAGCAGAAGAGGTCACCTGAGGTTCTGCATCCCTCTGGTCATCCCATAAAGGTATCTTATATACTTTGGTATGTTTTAAAAGGAACCTAAATGCCTACATATAGGCAAGTGAATTAAGCCTTTCAAGTTCCCCAAAAATCTTCAGGATGCAGTTCTTCTGCAAACCGCTCTGACTACATGGGGAACTCCCTGAAATAACTACAGTGCTACATTGCAATGATGCAAGAGAGGACTAACAGACCATAGAGCAGAAAACAAATTCTCCTCAAAAAGCCTTGTAAGTTGAAAAATAGGAAGCGACATTGCAGAGAAACACACTGCTTCACCAATACCTTTTTGCAACASGATCATGCATCCAAAATCCTCACTTATAAACACAACAACGAAAGTTTCTGCACTGACTTTGGAGCACGACCAATCACACTATAAAACCTACTTGTCTGCTCTTTAGACAGTCTGGCTGGGCAGCAGCCTGATGTAAAGTGATGGAACATTCCTAGYGTCAGCTTTAAAAACAGGACATTGACCACTGCCTTGCCTTGGGAAGCTTTTGAAAAGCTCATCTTAGCAGAGAGCAGGGTCAAACAATGGAACAGGTTTCCTAGAGAGGCGTCAATGCCCCAAGCCTRTCAGTGTKMAAGAGGCATTTAGACATTGTCCTTACTAATATGCTTTAACTTTTGTTCAGCCTTGAAGGGGTCAGGCAGCTGGACCACATGATCATTACAGGTTCCTTCCAACTGAAAATATTCTATTCTATTCTATTCTATTCTATTCTATTCTATTCTATTCTATTCTATTCTATTCTATTCTATTCTATTCTATTCTATTCTATTNTATTCTATTCTATTCTATTCTATTCTATTCTATTCTATTCTATTCTATTCTATTCTATTCTATTCTATTCTATTCTATTCTATTCTATTTTTACAGCTGGCTGTGAACAAGCTTGCCCTCTGAACAAATCTTCCCTGGCCTTAAGGTCAGAGAAAAAGATGATGTAGCACAATCTACTTCTTTTTTGTACTGTTTCTTCATTGAAGAAAATTGCTACAGGCTCTTTCTGGTCTCTTCATTATACAGTATTCTTTTTCTACTGCTGCATTCTTAGTTACCTGGGAAACAGCTGTAACATGAAATTGGRTTAGCAAATGTTGTCATGGTTAGTTCTTTGGGGAGGGTAAATGTGCCTTTCCCTCCAACAGTGAGGAAATTCCAGACAAGATGTGAATCATATCCCTCTAACAACTCGTCCTCCCTCTTATGGGAGGGGAGGAGGTTTTAAAACCCTCCTGAGTGATGATACTAGAAATTTGTAATTTAAAATTTCAGCTGACTGAATATTGCAGTCTTAAAATTCCACTTATCTCATCAAGCTTAACTGTTCCTAGAAAAACTAGGAAGCCTTTCTCCCTCCATGACACACACCAAATTTTAGGAGTTAAAGAGAGAGAATTGTACCAAATAATAATACCAAAGTAGATAACAGACAGCTTTCAGGATTTAGACACATTTTCCTCTGTTTCTTCCAGCACACCAGAAGAAAATAAATACACTCCATAATGCTATAGTTGGCTCAGTTTAATTTTTCTTGGCATTTGGAATCCACACCTTCTTTGAGGYTCCACGCCATTTATTTACAGGCAGTGTGCCAGAACCTAAGAGAGTGGACTGTAATTTTCATCTCACCAAGAACACTGCTTAAGAKGGGTCAGGCCAGGTTATTCTAAAAACACTAAATTTAGTCCAAAACACATTTTAAACATTCTACTCTTCCACATTAGGACTGAGAGTGAATTCTATATCAGATTCTACCAATATTATCCCTTATAGCCACTGGAAATTTATTTAGCCCTGTGTCTACACTTCTCTGTAACTAAAATTGAGGCATTAYTCTTGCCTTTCTGACAGGCAAGGATTTATTGTATTAGTCATTTACTATTTGCATAAAGCAAAAGAGTACAATAAAAACCACAATATCAGAAAGCAAACCCAACAGAAACATCATAAATCCTGAACTTCCACCAAATCCACTCTTTCYGAAATTGTCAGATATTTAATGCTGACCTCATTACTAAACAACTATACCAACAGTATGAAATTTAAAAGTTCCACTTTTGGGGAGAACATAAATTTAAAAAACATTTAAATTAAATTAAAACAACTTAAAACTAAGTCTTCATTACAAAAAACAGCAGGACCTATTGAGCATTTTCTGTCAGGACTATATATCAACCCACTAAGAACCACCCTCGTAGTTAAATGGCTCTTAGTAATACGTAGTACCCAAAGAAAGGCGAAGCAGATGAGTAAAACCAGGAAGTGACACTTGTCTACTGCTTATCAAATGCTGAACGATAAGGAAGACAGCAAACAGTCCATACTGTATGTCCATACAGTCCATACTGCAGTTTTTAAATTACATGCAACTCCACAGAATTACATGCAACAACACAGAAATTGCTTTTCAGTCTAGCAGTCAACAGTCAGGAACAATGGCTACCATCTTAAACCAACTAATTGAATGAGTAAAACACTAAGTATTTCAGCAGACTGGAACATTCMCTGCTACCACAGACACCAGTGAGCCAGTGTGTCTGGCAGGGATTGTTTTAGACCCAAATTCCCCCTGGCATTGGTATATAAATATACATATATAYAGACACATACACGTTCACCAGCCATTTACAGAGGCATTAAGCAAGCTCCGTGCCTCCAGCTTTGCCTGAAGTAAGCTGTTGCTCTGCCTCTTCACGTGAAGAACATCAGATCTCAGAGAGAAAAGCCAGGTGGAAGAAAAAAGAGCGATTCAACATCTCAAAGCAGGCATGAAAGRTACAGGTTTGACACATGATCAAAAAAAGAAGTAAGTACCCCAAATCTAGGAGAAGAAAATTTGTATGATCATTCTGAGACCACGAAGTAAAATTCACATCCATTGTAAGAATCAAGCCAGGTCCTCTTTTTTATTTCACAGACCATTTCAAATATCCAGGTTATTCTGTCATGTAAATTAGGGAGAAACTTAGAGGGAAAAAAAAAAAAGAGAACTTGCATTGGCTACAAAGAATAAAGTAATAGTCCCAAAAGAAAACTGCTATTTCCATTATCATTCTCTCATGAGAAATGATGCTGTTTCTTGCCATCTGCTGCATTATTGCTAGCCATTTATAATGACAAATCTATCATAAGAAATATTTTCACATGAAGGCTGTGACATATGCTTTCTATTAACRAATGATAAAGAATATTGTAAATATACTGCAGATGCAGTTTTGCAAACTGCACTGTTTATAAGMAGATAATGACATGCATCACTGAGCCCAATCCTGCTCTGAAAACCACAACAGGAGATAGCTCCTGTTAACTGCTACAGTTCCTTTATTGAATGAGTCTTACGTGTACACACACTACCAGACCTCATACACGACTACTAAAGAGCAAAGGAGAAGAAGAAACATACAGGGTTGAGATGCTCCACAGCTTTCAAACAACTGGGCAATTTAGGAGTCAAACTAACAATAACACTGCTTAGGCCTTTACTCTAAGTCCCAGATTCTTCCTGGTCTATCAGTGCCCATTTCTCACTCCTTTCAGTGGTACATAGTTACACACATCATTACACAAAAATAGCCCAAATACACCTGAAGGTATGTGTCCCCACAGGAATTCTAGATAAGGATTTGTTAACTTTCAGGAGCAAAATAAACCGGTGACAGCAAGAAGTCTCTCACATGTTGCATACAAGAAAAAAAAGTTTTAGTCTTGTCATCTATCTCAGAGCTGTTGAGCTGAATCCAACACTGACTTCCCATTGAAGCCAATAAATTTATATTACTGGGTCTACCAAAGTTTTCTCCTGAAAGAGATCACTGCCATTTATTTCTCAGCATTAAAATACTACTTACATATCTATGTAAATCTTTTAACGATGGGATGCAGTAAAATGACATTACTTCTGTAGAGTATTTAAATAGTATCTAAAAACAAATTGCTTCAGTAGTCATATGTTCTTGTTAACTCTAAATAAAYATGTAATGTAAGCTAAACATTACCTTGTTCTTCAAGCTTCCCAATTGTTTCTATCTGCTCAACAAGGTCATTTGAGTTCCACTGGCTCATGCCTATGAGAATAGCACTCTTTCCTTCCACCATCTCTTCTGTAAGAGGAAAAAAGAATAGAATAAATTGCTGTGAAAAACAAGAGAAAAAAGACAGGGTGAGAACTAGAAATTGAGAGAGAAATAAACACTAATTAGAGCCCCTAATGGGAATACRTAACAGCTTATGCAGCTTATGACAGCTTTTCCTGTCTGGACTGTCCAGGAAAACTTCTTGCCTACTCATATGCCCTACAGCAATCCTATATGCTTCTTATATYATGTGCAAGAAAAACTTGACAAAGAGAGGACTGCCTAAATTTTTTCTCTTCCCTTGAGTAGTCATTTTAAAACATAGTTTGTAATAATCACTTTGTGTGTTTGAGTGGTTGGTTGGTTTTGGGTTTGGTTTTTTAATTTTTTTTTTATTTTATTTGAAAAACATTCAAAAGGCAGAGCAGAGGAAAGCACGGACCACACCAGTTCAAGGCTTTTCAAGAATGTTTTTTCCACTTCTATCAAAGCCGCCTGTGCCACGTAAAGCTTTACATGTCCATCTAGGGACACAGAGACATAACGGAATGGAACCAAGTCCACAGCACAGAGAACCATGTCTTTTATTGCAATCCCATCCAGGGAGTGGGGTAGGARAAACTGATAGCACAAAACACCCATAGACCGATACCTACTCTCTTCCATAAAAAACAAACTCAAAATCAAACAGGTCTATAAGCTTTAGAAATACATTTTCCTTCAATTTAACAATTGTTTGGCAAGAAGGGTGCATTAATCCTTTCTGAATAAATTTACTAAAAGCACTTCAACCCAGCTGGATACAGCCCAGAATGGTCTTTGTACCTAGGTCAAGCACAGAGAAAAAAAAAAAAAGTAAAATAAATAATAACAGTTCTTTACTTGTTAAGGCAGATTCAGAGAATGGGTCAAATTTTGTCCTTTTGTACTGTGTTTGGTGGAGAGAATTGCTCTAATACGGGGAGAACAATAATAGAATAATTTAGACAGGACATTTCTGACTAAAATAATAATTTTCAAATACCTACCTTGCAGTAGGTCTCTAAACTATTAAAAAAAATTATGTTTTTTCATGTTGTGTCACATGTACCTCTCTCATTTAGAGAGATCTTGATACTGGAGAAGGAGAAATATGGATCTGTATAAAGGACACTATAAATCACTTAATAGTCATCACCATATCTTATCTCTCCCTMATTCATACTTTAACAAACTATGATAAAGGTCATTATCAGATTTATCAGGATCCAGCAAAGCCCCCTGAGACCTGATGCAATCTCAGCTGCTCCCTGAGGCAGAGATAATCAAACACTTAGCACAGCATTTTGCTCAGGTTTTTGTCACTGTCTCTCAGAGGCTGATTGATTTGAATTGTACACAGAAGAATGGAAGGAGCCGTGGTGGTTGTGGTCTCTTCCGTCCCCTCCTCAACAAGTGGTTTTGAAATCCATCAGAGAATGATAGGTAGTTTCAGTGATGTTTTGGGCTTAGTCCTTACTGCTGTTCCTCCTGCCAACTGGGAGTAACAACAAATGTCCTGCCCCCTGAGCTCCTCAGTGCAGCTGCACCAACACAGATGGAAAGTGGTCAAGTCAGCAGCAGTGCAGCCCTCAAGAGCTGCTTATGGCCGAGAAGGGGCAAATGTCTCGCTGACAGGTGGAACATTTTCTCCACAGATAGATAAAAATGGGTGATAACGGTTCTCTGCTCTAAATTTTGTTTTCCTGCTTTGTTCTTCTTGAGTAAAGTCCAGTGTTGGAATTGAAGATCAAGCAGCAGCACAGTGGATGGCCCTTAACACTGACACGTGTGTGCAGCACAGTGGATGGCCCTTACACAGACCAGTGCAAAGATCTGCAAACAACTGAGAGAGGTGTGCTTCCAGGGCTGTGTTAGGGAAGATTTCTTTTTCAGCTTAAAGGCTGTGGGCAGGCATGTGGGGAGGAAATAGGTATGGGGGTGTTTGCCTGTCTGTTGTGGAAGTCTGATAAAATGGCCAAATGGGAATGTGCAGGCTTCTTTGAGTAGCTTTTCAAATCTGAGTAAAAATGCCAGTTAACAATGGATTTTTGTATTCTGACAATTTTGTGATGATGTATTCAGCTGTAACTTTAATATTCTGTGATCAGAGATATGTTACAGTTAAATTATAAGGCAGGTTCCTGCATTAACTATCATGTTATGTATAAACACTGTAAAATTCTTGCCTATCTTACAGCAAGTCACATGGAAAGCAAGAAACAAAGGAAAGCCAGGCAATATGTGTGGGCTGAAGTAATTGRCATTATCAGTAGATTAAGCATAGCATCAAAGAAATAAGATGAATTTGTTTGTGCTGGAGCGAGGGAAACCTGTCCAGGAGAGAGACTGTGGCTTTCACCTCCTAAAAATGAGGTAGCTTGACACCCTTTTTTTGTCTCCAGCATAACATTTTCTGCATTCTCTGTCACTTACACAAAGTACTTCATCAATGTTTGATATTTTTGCAGCTGCACAGTGCAGCTGGAGTTGAGTACTATGGTGTTTCTTCATGGGAGAATCTGGAAGCTATCCCAGACTCTACATTCACCCATGTGTAATTTGTACTTCATAGACAGTCTGAAGTACGAGGCAGCATGCACAGCAGTGGGAACCATTAAAACATAACATCAGTGAGCTGCTTTTGTATTCTGAAAAACAGCTGGGGTCAAATTTCAGTTTTTAAAAGAAGGTTGTGGCTGGCAGCCTTGTAAACAGAGAATCAAGCACCTGTGTTTGAGATGAAGTAGCTGTACATATTTCGACTGTTGATTCATCTGTCATGGCAAACTACTTAATTTAGTGAAATCCGTGTAGAAAGGGAGATTGCGTATGCATACAACCTACACATTCTTCTCCCAGTTCAGAACAAAACTTGGCATGTTACAGAGCATGTCAAGATTCAGGGTCTCACAGATGATGTAGGGACTGTTGCAGTTACCTCAGCTGGTTAGAGAATGGTGCCACGAGTTTGATCTCCATATGGGCCACTCACTTAGGATTTGGACTCAATGATCTTTGTGGGTCCCTTCCAAGTAAGAATACCCTGTGATTAAATCCACAAGCATTCAAATATTGCTCCTTGAACAAGCAGAGATCCCAGTCCCTCCAGTGAAACTTTTGATAGAGTGGAAAACCTAAGATATTGGTCTTACAAGTTGGCCATCAGTAACATGACAGACCAACTGTTATGGCCTTCATCAGAAACTGTGAACACGAGCACTCCCATTGTAATGTCATACACCAACTGACCTGGGAACAACCTGGGCCCAAGAGACCCAGAAGGTCTGTGCTGGTGGTGTCTTGCTGCTTCTGACACCACTCAGCTCAGGGCAGCTCGCTCATCCATCCCAGCACCTCACCAAACTCCTGTAAATTTAGGTCCATTCACACATYCTAGATAGAAGAACTGATGAACATTTTATCTGATGATGACAATGTTGCCAGTTTATTCACAAAGAAGCTCAGTCACTTGTTGCAGAATTGGGGGGGGGGAAATTCGGAGAGGACAAAAATGTGTACTCACCTCGTGCATCAAAGAATTCATCATCGGAGCTCTCGACGGAGTCTCTGAGGACATTCTGCATGTGCCGCTGAGCACCACCAAATCGGCACGTGCCAGCTGCAAACAGGAGACTCACATTAGTACAAGGCTATGTTCACCTCTGCCTCAGGAAAAAAACCCAACCCATTAAGGAACAGTTTTTGTAGGTGCCTCAGGAGGATGGTCATCRTGCATACTTTAATCTCAACTATCAGACAGCAAGAGCTCTTAGGATGGCAAAAAAATAATTCCACTTAATGATACACAAAGCCATTACAAGTTTTTGTTAAAGATAAGCTTGTATTGCTTTCAGCTAATGCAGTGACCTCAGAGGATAAATTTTTCCTGTGGAATTCATCTAGCTGTTCCATTCCAACACTCAAACTGCACATTGTTTCTAAGACACAAAGCAGCATTTCCCCAGGACATGGCAGTAGCTCCCACTTAAATTCAATGTAACTCCTGAAAGAAGTGCCATCTTATTTGGCTCAGATTTGTAGACAAGCCACTCAATTCTCACTCACTGAACTGGTTTCATCATAGAGCTTTGCTGAGCTGGAGCCTGGGGCTTTCATTTGAAGCTTGCCATTTGAAGACAGGAAGGCAAAACCACACCTGAGATGGTATRGTAACAGATATATACTCATGACAGCTTAGATGGTCCTAATGAATTATCATGCTCAAACTAATTTGTAGTTAGTAAACCAGACTTGCTTAACTGTATCACTTCCCCTTACATCTAAGAAGCCCAACACTAGAAAGCAGTAGTGAAATATATTCCTTCATRTTAACAACAAAAATCTCCCCACAATCAGTGGAGAATCAGGGATCAAATCCACCACATCCCTCTCTCACTACTATAGAGAGGACACTCATTACCCATCAGTATAGTGTCTTTCATTTAATTCATTTCTGCAAATGATGACATCAGRCCCGATTCTAATATCCTTAGCCCCTGGTCACAAAAGCATTCTTCTTCTCTCAGTAGTAAAAGAGCAACACGAACATGCCACTAGGTCACAGCCTTTTATTCTTCATTTTCTCCACCTATAGCTGAATTAATCAGAAGTATAAGTGAAGGGTGGTAGGAAGAAGAAGATTTTAGCTGGCCAAGATGTGAGTAAAAATAATAATTAATTAATAGCATTTTAACAGGATTAAAAAATTGATTATTAAGGAGTCAGTATTCATTACAAGAGTACAGCATATACTGACAATGTATCCAGTGATATGTGACAGCTATTGGAGTCCCACCATTCAGACACATACCTCTCCTAAAATATAGGTACACTACAGTCATCAAAATAGGGGTAGAAAGGACATTATTCTGAACTTCTAATGAAGACAAGTCTGTATTGGATCAATGCTCGGAAGAGCAGGCATTTCAAAATTTCAAAAGCACAAGATGTGAGGCACCACAAGAAACCCAGAGTGATGTATGGACGGAGGGAAAAAAAGAAAGAGAGAGAGAGAGAAAGAGAGAGAGAGAGAGAAAAGAAAGCAAGAAAGAAAGCAAGAAAGAAAGAAAGAAAGAAAGAAAGAAAGAAAGAAAGAAAGAAAGAAAGAAAGAAAGAAAGAAAGAAAGAAAGATAAAGAAAGGAAGAGAAGGAAAGGAGGGAGTAGGCTATGTAAATAAAAAATTGTAAAGACTTCAAAAATACTCCAAAGCAAACAGCAATTCCCTGGGGAAGAACTGCCACTATGCTGGCTGAAAATCAGTAATAGTACTCACTTGACAAAAAAAAAGAGCTCATGGTTCCAGGAACCTTGGAGTTTCATGTAGAATGTGAAGGGAGGGCAGGCAAAAGTGTCACAAATACCCAGGCATAAAATCAGGCTATGAGAAAAGTTCTTGGGTGCATCAGTTTCATTATATTGCACTGGGAATGCTTCTAGATTTAGAAGCAGCTTAACCACAGTCAACAGCACAAATCCGTGTAAGGCTCACTGCAACAGCTCTCCATATCTAGACTGATTTGCTGGCTGGACTGCATTGCATTGCCCTAAAACATTGGTCTGACTGAATCTGCTTCCTTCTGTGCCAGCAGATTAGCATCAGGCACCTTCAGAGGACTCTATTAGCATTTCTTGATTGTATTAAACCCTGGCATTGCCTGGACTCACTGATTTGATTTACACTGTCAACTGCTGAATACCTTATTTTATAATTTTGCTTCAGAGAATGAAAAGAACAGCTGTAAAACTAATTCAATATTATTCATTTCACTGTCATCACATATTTCAAGCCTCGCAGCAGGCCCAGCCTTTCCCTTTATCTTCTGCTTGGTAACAAACATCTTCCCTTTTCCAGTCAAGCCTAGACATAAGCACATGCCAGAACACACTTGATCATAAAAAAGTACTCCTGAATACTATCATCACACCTAGGTAGAGATGAAACAGCATACAGTGTTCTCACAGCTACTGGAAACTAAGTCTCTTAAATAATCAAATATTGAAGACTGAATTAATCTCAATTAAAAAAAAATAATAAAAAAAACGACTCGGTTGCACAGATTAAAACATTTCCACTTGGCAAAACCTGCTTTAGGAATGTACCATTCAGGGTACAGTTTTCCTAATAAAATTTAAAAGCACAAGTCATTTTCCCATTTGGACAGAGATGCCGGGTAGGAGGAATAACCTTTGCTATTGCTGCAGACTGCTGTTGCATAATAACACTTCTTTCTGTTTTGCTGGTTTCAAATGCTTCTTGCCTACCCATTAAGAGATTTAACRGAGCTACCCACACAGTGTTACCTAATGACTATGCAGTGAAGACTTACTGGAGTCCAAGTTCATCCACAATGATTTTCTAGTTATGTTTTATTTCTTATTTGGCAAATGTAAAACTGAAGATTTATGTTAAAATGATGTGAATTTAACTACTGAAGGCACTCCTAAGACTTAGGAGCTCATAAAAGACAGAGGGAGATGCTGATCCTTCTTTCAATAATTCCAGAGTGAAAACATTAAGTACGCTCAGAGGAAGTCCAYGCCTGCATGCTCACACCCAAAAAAAGATGGACCATACATGACCATCATTGATACCAGGGCCATRGAGAACCCATCCAAAATCACAGAATGAACCTGCAGCAGAGACTGGAACTGAAATGAAATCAGTTGAAGCTGAAATGAAGCACACTGCAAGTGGAAGGGGCTGAGGGGGGACATGAAGTGGAAGGCCTACAAAACTGAGGCTAAAGGAGGAGAGGGAGAAGTWACAGTAGGAGGTGAGAGGAGAGGTGGAGAGAACATAAAAGGTCAAAGGGAATGGGGACAAAAAACGTGGAAGATCAAGTCAAGATGTCAAGCTCCCTTGTCAAAATGCACAGCTGACAAAGCCAGAGACGCAGTTACAGATAAAAACATCCAGACAAATTGCAGGTTCTCTTGTCAAGTGAAAGAGCTAACTGCTGCAACAGTCCAGACTCCACTGTGGTGAGATGTGCCTGACACAACCAGSTCCTCTCTCTCATTCCTCATGCAGTGTCTTTTATCTTACAGCAATTCCAGTGAGAAATCCCTGGCTGTCTACTCTGTATATCCCTCCACTGGCAGTTCCACAGCAGACAGTAAGGATGGGCATGTATTTGAATGCTGAGTACAGGAAACACATCAGAAAACTAAGCCATGCAAGCCTTTAAGCCCCTATTTTAASGTATCAGTGACATTTGCAGCCTTGCACTTTACAGGATTACTAGTGAGATGGAGGAAGAGGGAAGTTTAACATGACTGTTCAGACCTCAAATCCTAGACCGAACTTTCCTGTAAACCTAGTACATCTCCCAGAGCTATTTCTTGATGCTTCAGATGCCAGCTTCCCCACAGCAGAAATCAACTTCACCCTCCCTCTCAGCAGTATCATCCCTCCTCCAAACTGACTCCCAAAACCAGAGAAGATACRAATATTCTCTAACCTTTTCCTGCAACGACTGTAGGTGGACTGCCTGTAACACATCYGAAAGACTCTATTCTCCTAGTGCAGAGATTCTGGCTTTCTGAGGAGTATCTGGCATTTTTGAATCACTATACTCTGTTAAAAATGAAGTCAGAGATGAAGAGTAGATACTCCACCACTCCCACAGGGACATGTCAGGTAATGATCTGCATTTGTCTCTACATGTTTTTACAAACAAAAATCCTGCAAATGCCCAAACATTTCTGCACATGGACTACTCCAAGCGCTTCAGATGGGGAGTTCACTCAGTGACATCTGGCTACTCAAGCTAGTCAAGGGTGGATCATGTCAAAAGCCCTTTACAAGTGCACCTGTCATTCAACAGGGAGCAAACAGCACATTTTCACGAGTTTGGTCTTTCTATCTGAGSTAAGGCTACTGCAGTGGCAGGGGCTGCAAGGTAGGGTATATAGAAACAAAACAGACACATTTTTTTATATTTGTGCATATTGCAGCTCACATTGATAAACTCAGCAGGCTCAATTAATAAAAGCAGCACAGTTTACCTACTCCTAGACCAGATATTTTCTTCCAGACCTCCTTTGTGAATCTACTCTTTTCTTTGAAATTAGTGGTGACAACATCACAAAGCTTGTATCAAAATACATACTTTGTCTACTGAAGTCAGTGGAATAGCATTCAAGACAAGTACCATAATTTAAAATTCCTTTGTGAAATTGTGTTTGAACCTGCAAGCTATGTAGGCAGGCTGCATTACTCATCTATCACAGAAAGCGAAAGCAATGCTTATTTTCCTATCCAWTTTAAAAAAGACTGTAAACTAATGCCAAAGGGAAAAAAACAGACCTTTTCCCCATTTGATTACTTCTTCATCTTCCAAAGGTGGAAAAGAAACATTTTGTTCAATTCTATATTTGCMTGCTCTGAAATTATTGATGCTCTCATGTTCATAAGTGTTACATATCTGGCCTGCCACCAATCCAAACTTATTTTGGGGGAGAAAAGAAATAAACAGTGCTGGGCGGGGGGGAACCCAAAATCAAACCGTTTGGGCTTAGCTTTAATATTGCCATGCTCCTATAAAGCTGCATCCAGACCTGGCACCAAACACCAGGTTAATGTCACATACYGACCATTCAGTCGCAGCAGTTAGGCCTTCACCTGCAGCAGCAATGGGTTCTACCTGCAACCTAGAAGAAAACCACTTCTGCATCAGCAGCTGGACTCTCATCTGTTCTGACCATTGTGCACAGAGAACATCTGCTACCTCGGTCAGGATGCACCTGCCACTGGGCACGGGACATCAGGGTGCTGCTGCTGCTGCTGCTGAGCATCCTAAATTCCTGTCTCAGTCCCAGGCAACGCACCTCCAACCTCTACACTGCTCAGGCTCCGGAGGAAGCACGACTTACAGCACGTGAACGGGCAAGGCGCAGCGCAGGCTTTGGGCAAATTCCACCCAACAGCACACCTGTATTGCGCTGCCTCCCGATCTGCTCCTCTCAGCGGGCGGCAGCGAGAATGGGCCCCACCGGGAGGCAGCCACGGAACTGCCCCGGAGCCGGCAGAGACCCTTCCCGGAGGAGCAGCAGCGGAGGGCGGCGAGGAGGCCGGGCAGCGACCACGGCACCGGCAGATGCGGGCGCCGAAGGCAGAGAGGGCCAAGTTCCATAACGACGACGAGGACAAATGTATCCGCGCCCCGCTCACACGAGTTTGCATTCACCGCTCCGTGCGGCCAAAGGCGAAAGACGCGAAGCCGGCGCTGCCACAGAGCCGCGGGTGGGCGGGAACGCGCCGGAGCCTCATCCCCGCCGCGCTCCGGGCCCGCGCTCCCCTCGGGCCGCCCCATCCCGCGCCAGGGGCCCCGCTCTCCCGTCCGTTCCGCCGCGGGGGCTCTGCACTCACCGGGGAGTGGAGCTTTCGCCATTTCAGGGCTGCCCGCTCGCAGCCAAGGCGTCCTCAGCGTGTCAGGTCGTGGCCCGCCGGGCGCTCCAGCACCCCGCTCTCCGGCGCCCCATGGGCTTTGGGCAGAGGCCCCGCGCCGCCCCCTCGCCTGCGGCGCTGAGAGACGCGACCGGGAGACGACAACGCCGCCGCCGCCAGCCGGTGCCGCCCGCCCGCTCGCCCGCCGCTAAAGGCGCAGCCGCCGTGGCTCAAGGCGCAGCGAGCGGCTCGGCGGAGAGCGGGGGCCAGGCCGGGCCAGCGCGGGGCCGTGGCTGCGCATCGAACGGCCCGGAGAGTGCGGTGCTGAGGTGCGAGCAGCACCCGCCCTCAGGAAGGGAAGGGCTCGMCGGGGCTCTCGCCTCGCTTCGCCGCTGCCGGCAAGGAGCCTCCGACGGGAGCTCGCCTCGCCCGCAGCCCACACGCCACAGCCGCCGGCCGGGGCGGGCTCGGGGCTCCCCTGGGAGCCGCTGCCCCGCACCGTGCCCGGCTCTCGCCCTCAGCTGCCCCGCACCGTGCCCGGCTCTCGCCCTCAGCTGCCCCGCACCGTGCC